CAGAGTGCAAGTGGGAGAGAGGCAGAGAGAAAGAAGGAGACACAGAATCGAAAGCAGGCCCCAGGCTCTGAGCTGTCAGCACAGAGCCCGACACAGGGCTCCAACTCATGAACCGTGAGATCTTGACCTGAGCTGAAGGTGGACGCTTAACCAACTGAGCCACCCAGGAGCCCCTGTAACCATTTTTTTTAAGTGAATTTGTAATATAAGTCTCCTGAAAAAGAAATCTCCAAGTCCAGATGGTTTTACAGGAGAATTCTATCAAACATTTAAATAAAAATAGACACTATTTTTACACAAATATCTTTCAGAAAATAGGAGGGACTACTTCCCAGTTCATTTTATGAGGCAAGTATTCTGCTACCAACCCCAGAACAAGACAGTATAAAAAAGATACCATGATCTCTCATGAAATTAGAAGCAAAAATCCTCAAAAAAAAGTATCCAATTGAATCCAGCAATGTAATTTTAAAAATTATAAACCAGAACCAAGTGGGATTTAATCTAGGTGTGACTCAATTTGAAAGTTAATGAATGTAATTTATCATATCGACAAATTAAAGAAGAAAAATCATAAGATTTTTTGAAATTGATGTAGAAAACATTTAACAACGTTCAGTACCCATTTATGGTAAAAACTCAGCAACTAGAAATAGGTAGTTTCCTTAAATTGATAAAGATTATCTACAAAAACCTGCAATAGCATCATACTTGACAGTGAAGTATTTCAGCTTTCCTTTCAAGATTGGGAACAAGGCCAGGACTTACTCAACATAGTACTAGAAGTTCCAGCCACTGCAATAAGAAAAGAAAAGATACATAGAATGTAGAAACAAAATGAAAACTGTCCTTCTTTATAGATTGTCTGCATAGAAAATCTCAGAGAGATGACAACAAGAAACTTATAAGAACAGCAAGCGAATTCAGTAGGAGTGTAGGATACAAGATCAGCATATGTAAATCAATTGCATTTTTTATCTTTTTTGTTTTTAATGTTTATTTTTTTGCTTTTGAGAGAGAGTGAGTGAGCACAGGGGAGGGGCAGAGAGAGAGGGAGGCAGAGAATTCTAAGCAGGTTCTGAGTTGTCAGCACAGAGCCTAATGTGGGGCTCGAACTCACAAACCTGAGCCAAAATCAAGAGTTCGGTGCTTAATGGACTGAGCCACCCAGGCACCCCTGAATTTTTAAACTTTTTTTTTTAATCTTTGTTTTTGAAAGAAAGAAGAGGGAGGGGCAAAGAGAGAGGCAGAGAGACAGAGAATCTGAAGCTGGCTCCACACTGTCAGCTCACAGCCTGACTTAGGGCTTGAACTCATGAACTGTGAAGCCATGACCTGAGCTGAAATGGGACACTTAACTGACTGAGCCACCCAGGCACTCCTCAATTGCATTTTTATGTACTAATAGTGAACATGTGGAAATTGAAATTAAGACACACACCATTTGCAATTACTGCCCCAAAATGAAATCCTTAGGTATAATTGTAACAAAACATGCATAGAATCATGACAGGTGAAAATTATAAAATACTGATGAAAGATTTTAAAGACCACTCAGTTAAAGACATACCATGTTCATGGATTGGAAGACTGGTCATAGTAAAGATGCCCCTAATTACTCGATAGGTTTAATGCAATTCCTATAAAAATTCCAGCAACATTTTTTTTTTTGAGACAGAGATAATAAGCTTATTCTAAAATTTATATGGAAAGGCACAGGCTTTAGAATAGCTAAAACCATCTTGAAAAAGATGAATAAAGTAGAACTAATCACTCTGCCTGATATTAAGCCTACTGAATAGTTACTGTAATCAAGAGAGTGTGGTATTGGTGGAGAGATAGACACTTATGTCAGTGAAGCAGGATAGAGAACCAAGAAATTAAACCCACACAAATATGGCCAATTGATTTTTAACAGAGGAACAAAAGGAATTCAATGGAGGAAGGATAACTTTTTCAACAAATGATATTGGGGCAGTTGGACATTCGTATAGGCAAAACCATGAACCTCAGTTTAAGCCTCATATAGAAATTCAATCCAAGTAGATCATGGACTTAAATGTAAAATGTAAAACTCTAAAACTTTTTTAAAACACTGGAGAAAAATCTTTGGGATCTAGGCTAGCCAAACGCATGATCCCTAGAAGAAAAAAACATGTTAGACCTTATCACAAAAGGATATAAAAACAAGTTACAGCCTGGGGGAAAATATTTGCAACCCACATATCTGGCAAAGGACTAATATCTGGAGCACTACAAAAACTTCTCAGGGCACCAGGCTGTCTCAGTCGATAGAGCATTAGATGCTTAATCTCAAGGTCGTTGAGAACACGCCCCCCTATTGGGCACGAAGCCTACTTTTTAAAAAATCAAAAATTTGGGGCACCTGGGTGGCTTAGTCGGTTAAGTGTCCGACTTTTGCTTAGGTCATGATCTCGCGGTTCGTGGGTTCGAGCCCCGCGTCGGTCTCTCTGCTGACTGCCAGCTCAGAGCCTGGAGCCTGTTTCTGAGTCTGTGTCTCCCTCTCTCTCTGACCCTCCCCTGCTCACGCTGTCTCTCTCTCTCCTAGAAATAAATAAAAATATTTTTAAAAAAATCAAAAATTACAAAGGGCAACAGTTAAAACTCAAACACAACCTAATTAGAAAATGTGCAAATGACAGAAACTGTCACTTCAGCAAATACAGACAGCAAATAAGCAAATAAGAAAAGATGTTCAGCCTCATTACCCATGACGAATATGTAACTTAAACACACAATGAAATCTCAAAATGGCTAAAATAAAAATTAGTGACAACACCAAATGCTGGGGGAAATTGGATCACTCCAATATGACTAGTGGGAATGTCAAATTGTAAAGCTACTCTGGAAAACAGTTTGGCAGTGTCTTATAAAACTAAACATGCAGCTAGCTACCATATGACAGAGCAATTGCATTCTTAGACATCTATCCCAGCAACGTGGAAACTTACTTTCCTACACAAAGATATACGTAGTGTTCACAGCAGCTTTATTTATAATAGTACAAATCTGGAAACAATCCAGGCGTCCTTTGACAGGTGAAACAAACTAGGATGCATCTATACCACGGATACAACACAGCATTAAAAAAGGAACGAGTTATTAATGTATGAAACAACACGGATGAATTTCTGAGAATTATGCCAGGTGAAAAGAGCCTATTCCAAAAGGTTACATCCTGTATGGCTCCATTTATATAACATTTCTTCAAATGTCAAAATTATAGAAATGAAGAACAGATTAGTAGTTTGGGGGGGCAGGCTATGGTAATAAAAAGGAATCAGGAAGGGTTGTTATAGTGATCAAAATGTTGTGTATTTTGACCGTATCAGTGTCAATATCTTGGATAATGGGTAGTACAGTTTTAAAGATGTTATTTTTAGGGAAAACGGGGTAAAGGATACACAGGATCAGTCTGTATTATCTTAATACATGTGAATCTACAATGACTTTAAAATAAAAGTTGAATTATAAAAAGGGGCAATTCCCTTGGGAAATGGTAAACTTTCTATTGTAACTTCAATGAAGTTAAAAATTAACCTGTCCTATGACCTGGCCATTCTACTCCTGTGTATGAGTACATTTGTCGGTAAAAAGATTTATATAAGATTGTTCATAGTATCTTTATTCTTAATAGCTGAAATTTGGAAACAATCCAGGTGTCCATATGGAGGAGACTGTATACACAAATTGTGGTATATTCTTACAATGGAATACTTCTTACGAGAAAAAGGAACTGATGCACACAAAATATGGATTTTTTCGCAAACATTATGTTAAGCAATGGGAATCAGAGACGAGAGTACATTGTGTATGATTACATTCTTATGAAGTTCAAGAACAGGTGTACTCATTGATAACCACTGTTTTCCAGTAGTGGGAGGATGGGATCAACTGGAAAGGGGGAACTTTCTGGAGTGACATAGGTATACGCATAATGTTAAAACCTATTGAGCTCTACACTTAAGGTTTATGCATTTTCCTCTACATTGATTATACCTTAAATAAAGCACTGTAAAACAGATCTTTGTTCATGGGGCAAAAAGACACGTCAACTGCTCCCACCATATGGACTTAATTTGAATCCTCTCTTAGACAAGCTATAGAGAAACCTATTTAATGGCACTCATGAGAAATTGAAAAGTTTATAATTGATGACATTAAGGAGTTGTGAAGTTTATAGGTATAAAATAATAATGTTAAAGAGTTCAGCTCATTTAGAGAGAGGTACAGTGATTTATCTAGGACTGGCGTCACAATAAAGCAGATGAGGACTGGTAGGATGTAAGTGAAACAAGATTGGCCATGTATTTATTGATTTGTTTCACCTGCATGATTGGATTGATTATCATCTATGTTTTACTCCATGATAAAAAGTTGAAGTTTAAAATTTTCAATACAAGATAGGGACCCCTGGGTGGCTCAGTTGATTAAGTGTCCGACTCTTGCTTTTGGCTCAGGTCATGATCTTGCAGTTTGTGAGATCGAGTCTCATGTCTACCTCTGCGTTAACAGCATGGAGCCTGCTTGTCATTCTCTCTCTCCCTTTCTTTCTGCCCCTCCCATGTTTGCTTCCATGCTCTCATTCTCTCTCTCAAAAATAAATAAACATTTAAAAAAAGATATACACGAGTAACTTTATTAGTACCAATAAAACAGAACAACCGGCCTCTGAGATCGTATGCCCTAAGGGTGCTCAAGGGTGGTAGAGAAGTTCGCGCCTCAAAAGAATCATAGCTTGTCTGCTCTAGGTGTCTTCATCAAGGAGTGAGGATCTCCAAGGGTAAAAAACCACCCTATGCTCAGTGGACACCAAGTGTATAGATAACTTATATTTGAGTTCCTTCAATTAAAATGTGTTTATGCTAGCACATGTAGACACAGTGTATCTTCATAGATCGTCCATCTATTTTACCAAATTGAAGCAGTGGGATTACTGATGTTTTTCAACCTTCCTGTGCTCTCTTATTTTCTTTAAGGACCTGATGTTATTTTATGAGGACGATCCAAAGCCAGTTTTGCCTACGGTTCCTCCTCCTGTTATCTCGTCAACTAAACTGTTATCAGAAGAACAAGCAGACGTTTGTAACCTCTGTGATGCAGGTAAATTGAGTAAAGAATAGAAAGTTTATGCAGAAACATCAATAAGAAACACTGGGCAGGAGTTGCTTTTCATCCGATTTTATTTTGTGAAATATAGCAATAATGGCTTTACCTTTGATAATTTAACTTTGATAATGGGGGCTGGGACCAGCATGGATGAATTCAACCCACGTGTAACCCTGTAATCTTATTTTACCATTTGCTTCAATGGTTTTTTTTCCTCTATTTTGCATTTTTTTCCTTTTTCACTGTTCCAAAAATTAGTAGCCACAATCAGATCTCTTACGAATACTTTAAAAAAGCAGAAATATTAATTTGAGTTCCTTTTTTCATTTGTATAAACTTCTCTTTGATAAAGAGTTTAAATCATGACTTTTTCATAAGCAAGCATTAGACCAGAATACATGGGATCCCCCAAATTGGCTAATCACCTCTTGACTAATTAAGAAGTGAGGAGGTACAGTATAAAATGATACAGACTGGCCTCCAATAAATTACATGATCAGATTCCAGCTGGGCTCTGCTGTTGTGCAGACCTGATTGATTGACCGTGGCACCACTCCATACTGTCTCTATTTTTCAGAAACTCTCAATTTTTAATACATTCTTCCTCTTGCTTTTCTCAAAAAATAGGACTCGAGACCTTCTGCCAAGTTGAAAATGAAACATTCTCATTAGTATCTTTCATCCCCTCATTTATCTTTGCTTTTATATCCATCCAGACATCCCTTCCTGCATTGCAGAGGTGGCTCTTCTGTTCCGAGTTTCATCTTCTCCCTCATCTTTGGGCCATGCACCTCGGTTTTCTCCTACATAGATCCCAAATATCCAAAATATAAAAGACCACTGTAGGTTACTAGTGTAGATTTCTTTTACAAGTTCACGTTTATGCAATTTTCTTATACAACTGGTCCTGAGAATGATGAGGATATTTCAACAAACACAAAACAAGAAGTTGTGGCTTATGGTGATATTTGTAGGACAAAGATGGTATTACTCACGTGGACAATTAGTTATAAGTAGTTATCATTTTTTAGACAGGTTGCTCTGTCTTCTTAGAATACACTTTATGGAAACTGGTCCAGATCCAGAAGCTTCAAAGAAGAATAGTAAGGAAAACATTTTTGTGATCTAATATTCCCTTATATTTCCCCCTCCAACATTAAAAAAAAATTTTTTTAATGTTTTATTTATTTCTGAGAGAGAGACAGTGTGAGCAGGGGAGGATCAGAGAGAGAGGGAGACACAGAATCTGAAACAGGCTCCAGGCTCTGAGCTGGCTGTCAGCACAGAGCCCGACACGGGGCTCAAACCCACAAACCGTGAGATCATGACCTGAGCCGAAGTCAGACGCTCAACAGACTGAGCCACCCAAGCGCCCCCAACATTTCTTTAATAGACTTCATTTTTTAGAGCAGTTTAAGGCTCACAGTAAAATTGAATGGAAGGTACAGAGATTTCCCCATATACCCCTGCCCCAAACAAGGTCAGCTTCCCAGACTACGAACACCTCACATTTGTTGCAATCAGCGAACCTACATCAACGCTTTATTATCAAAGACCATAGTTTACATTAGGGCTCGCTCTTCGAGTTGTATATCCTACGGGTTTTGACAACTGTGTACACCATTAGAGTATCATACAAAGCATTTCACTGCTCTGCAAAGCTTCTGTGCTCTGCCTGCCACTCCTCCCTTCCTCCTAACCTCTGACAACCACGGAGGCTTTAACTGTCTCCACCATTTTGCCTTTTCCAGAAAGCCATAGAGTTGGAATCATAGAGGATATAGCCTTTTTCAGACTGACTTCTTTTATTCAGTAGCACGTACTTAAAGCTCCCCCATGTCTTTTCGGGACTCGATAGCCCATTTCTTCTTAGTGCTGAATAGATATAGAGCATTTATCCATTCACCTGCTGAAGAACAGCTTAGTTGCATCTAAGTTTTGGCAGTCATAAATAAAGTGGCTACAAATATCCATCTGAAATAAGGTTTCCCCGCCAACATTTTAATACAAGTGAAATTGAATGAATGAGGCTAAGCAGAAGCCTTTAAGAGGAAAAAAGTCACAAAACCCATCGAGTGAGGGATGACTCGCCCCTGTGACTTGGTTGGAACTCATCTTAACTGGGGGAGCTTTTCCTATTTTTGAGTCTTTCTTTTCTCCCGTCCTTCCTTCACACCCATCTCAGAGATGTCTTGCTAAAATGCAGATCTAAATGTTTCACTTCCTAGCTTAAAAACTTTCAGTAGTTTTCCACTGCCAATAGGCCAATAGGAAGTTTAATTTTTTTTTTTTTTTTGCTGTCACATAAGACTTTTCATGGCCTGCTCCCAGCCAGCGTTTGTAATTTCATCACCCAATACTGCCAATATTCACAATGCACTGCGGCATTCTATTACTTGTATAGTTTCTTCTCCTCAGAAAGTCTTTGTTCCAGTTACTTCGGCGGTGTAACACATTGCTCTAAAACTCTGTGGCACAAAATAACCGCTTATTCTGCTCATGGAATTCTCTGGGTCAGGAATTAGGACAGGACACAGTGGGGATGACTTAGCTGTGCCCCATGACGTATGTTTGGGCCTCAACCCGAGGACACAAAGGCTGGGGACGGGAATCATCTGAAGGCTCATTCACTCATGTGTATGGTAGCTGGTGCCCACTATCGGCCGGGGGCCTCAGTTTCTCTCCACGTGAGCCTCTTCATGTGGTGTCTCCACATGAGCCGGTTTGGGCCTTCTCACAGCATGGTGGCTGGGTTCCAAGGCTGAGAGTCCTGTAAAAGAAAGGACCAGGCAGTAGCTGGAGAATCTCAAAGATCATGCTGTGATACTTCCTTCCCATTCGGTTCATCAAAGTAATCACAAAATCTTGCCCAAGTTCAAGGGGAGGGAACATAGACTCCCATCCCTCTATGGACAAGTGTCAATGTCATATTGAAAGAAAAGCATATAGGATGGTGTGTGTGTGAGTACAGTCATCTTTGGAAAATACAGCCTGTCTCCGTCCTCCCCCAGATTACGGACGCTTGACAAGATCCTATTCAAACAGCGAGGCCCGAGAGCTCAAAGGTCACTCTGCTATAAAATGCTTTTTCTACACACTGATTTGTCTTTTCACCGTGCTCCCATGGGACTCCCATGGGATTCAAACAGTATTAATAGGGTCCAAATCCTCCTTGTCTGTCCCTTACCCCAACACAGTTCCCTCGCCGCAGCTCCCTGATACGATCAATGTGTTGATTACCCTCTAGACCTTTCTCTGCATACACACATGTACCTTTAAAAGTAGGTAGAACTGACTTTATTTTGTTTCAGAAGATTGTCCTATATTTTTCTGAAACTCCTTACAGCAATACCACTTGGCCATCCTGTAGGGTATGTCAGTATATGGTATATTTGGAGATATATTTGGAGATATACCATATGTTTTTTTTTTAACTCCTACATTGACTGGGTATTATAGTTTACTTCCCTGCTGATAGATAGTTTGGTGTTTTATATTTTTCATTATTACAAGTGATGCTTCCGTGAATAGCTGTGTGCATATAGGTGAGCGTTTATTTAGGGTGGATTCCTAGAAATTGAACCCTTGGGTCATAATATATGCCCATTTTCTTCTTAGTTAATGCTGCCAAATAACCCCTCAAAATATCAATACCAGTTTACACTGGCTCGCAGTATACAGAAGTACTTATTCACGCACACCCTCACCAGCACTTGATATTTTTCAAGTCTTATATTTTTATCGCTTGGAAAAGGTTGCATTGCATAGTAGGTATAATTTGCATATTTCCATGTGTTAACTGGATATTTTTATTTCTTCTTCTGTGCACTGCTTATATCCTTAGTCTTTTTCTTTTGGATTGTGTGTTGTTGATCATTTAAATTAAATGATTTTGTAGCATTTTTACATATGTTGTTAACTACATATAAAATAATAAATTTTTCAGAATAAAAACTGCCCTTTATCTCACCAGCAAAAGACAGGGTTATTCGGGAATAAAAGAGAATTTCAATTCAGGACAAACAAGCTGAGGCAAAATATAGGCAAGCCCAAGGAACGAAGGAGAGGTAGGCTTTCTTAAGGAGAAAAAGAGTAGTTGGGTTAGAAGCTAGAAGTCCGTTGGAGTAAACTGAGAATTCCAAGTGTAGTGACTGGCTTCTCATTGGCTGAGCTGTTGTTGGGAGGGGAGGGAGGTAAGGAAAGCCTCTCTTCTCTCCCCAGTAGTATGCACGTGCAAGGTCAAGTCCTGCTCTTTCTGTCACATGTGCAATTGACTAGAGTGGTAGGGAGTGACAGCTCCTCCTGGGGAACCTTCCAGACTCCATTCAGTTCCCGTTACTAATTTTCACACTGTTCCTAATCCCTGTGATTCAAGTTGCAAATATCATCTTCTAGGCTATGACTTGTCTTTCAGATTTTTTTTACAGATTTTTGTTTGGTTGGTGTTTTGGTAGAAATCTTATGTTTTATGTAGTCATGTGTATTATTATTTCGCTTCAGAGATTTTGGTTTTTGTGTTTTGGTAAATTTTTATTAAGGTATAATTAACATACAGTGTTATAGAAATTTCAGGTGTACAACATAATGATCGGACAGCTCTGTACAACACTCAGTAGTGCTGCTCCCGGTGACAAGTATAGTGACCATCAGACAACATTATTACAGTCTTATTGACTATATTTCCTATGCTGTGCTTTTCATCTCTGTGACTTATTTATTTTATAACTGGAAGTTTGTACCTTTATCTATGCCATCCCCCCCCCCCACACACACACCTCCCTCTGGCAACTACCAGTTTGTTCTCTGTATTTAAGAGTCTGCTTTTTGTTTCTTTGTCACTCTGTTCCTTTGTTTCATTTCTGAGATTCTACACATAAGCTAAATCATGTGGCATTTGTCTTTTTTGTCTAACTTTCCAAAGAAGACATACAGATGGCCAGCAGACACAGGAAAAGCTGCTCAACATCAGTAATCATCAGGGAAATGCAAATCAT